GTGGTGCGACACTACTTAGAACGGTTGCCGTGCCAGGTCATGTCTGGGAATGGTCATGGATGAGTGCTCGTGTTTACGTGCTGCTGCTGTAGCTTGTGCTTCCCTCCCGCCACCGCTTGAGGATTTCAGTGAGTGGGAGTCCCTCATCCCGCGAAACCAGCTTGGGCACGTATTATCAAGACGGCGTTACACGCTACGGCCTCATCTCGTTGGGGCGGCCACAGTGGAGGCCAATGTGTTCGGGAAGTCCGCCCCCTGGAAGTGCCAGAACGTGCGTGGATGGACGTTGATGGACTTTTTGTAGACTCACTTACATGTGCAACATACGACGCACAAAGGATGACAGTGCCAAGTGTCCTTGGTGCGCGCGTATTTTTTTCGAACGCATGGAGCTTTACGCGCACATGTGGCGCGCGCCCACCGTCAAAACGCAGCTCTGGCACGTGCATGGGCGTCGCCAGACGGATCGTGTCTGCATGCCTTTCCGTATTTCACGCTCGGACACACCTAGTAGATCACTTAGCGCATGATTCCCCGCGGTGTTTATCTATGCGGATGAGTGATCGCGCCGCGGCAGTTGCTGTGCCAGGTGTTACTATATCAGGAACTGCGCCGTGTTATCATATTGCATATCCCGAGTTCACAGCCCCCATGACAGGCAGGATCCCAGGTGTGCAGGTGTCTCGCCGTCACGTTGTTGTGCCGACAGTTCGTGCAGCTGGCCCCATCAGAGCATGCGTTTGCAGTGATGGCTACGATGGGCCATGGCACTGCACGTTGGGAGATTGCGGCTGCTGACCCCGCTCTCCCAGCTGGGATTGCTGCTTGCCTGCGAGCTCCTGTGAATGCCGCTGTCGCGCCGCCGCCGTCGGCCAACCGTGCGCAGTGCGCCGCTGAGAGATGCCCGGGTCGTCTTTCCCGACAGAACGGTGCACTGGCATTGCAGCCGAGCCCATGCCGAGGGCCGCCAGACGAGTTGAACATTTTGTTCTGAGTTTGTTTTTTTCGGACGGAGGAGGGCGGGGGATGTGCAGGCACAAGTTGAGTGGGAGCACTATAGCTCAGACTATGCGGTAGATGGCCTGTCTGTTGATACAGCCATACATGCAGTGGACGGGGATCTCACGAATCGGGACACACTTGCAGAATGGAGGTCTCGCATCTTTGCGCGACGGGTGCCAGCGTCGGGCGGCGGGCCCCCGCGCGAGACCTGGTCTGCCTTTCGGTGGGCGGAAGGCCAAGGCCCACCGCCACTGCGTACGCATGGCCAATTTTGGGGTAAGGCGGCAGTTACTGAGCGTCAGATGGAACAGCTGTGGGTGGGCAGTGCGCTATGCCATGCTTTGCTGGAGCCCTTCGCTGCGCGCATGCAGGCTGGGGCGCCATGTTGGCTTGGGCACCCCCAGCCGTGCGAATGGAGGCTTCAAGCCGTCAGCTCGTTTACCTGCCATCCGATGCGTGCTCTCCAGTCGCCCCCAGCAGTCTCAGCGACCGATTTTGAGCAGTGTGAGCATGGTCAGACGTCAAGGGCCCCCACTAGGATCGTTGCACTTAGACTGCCAGGGCTGCACGCCGCCCCGCTTGCGACCCCTGGAAACGGCAGATGTTCGCACGGTAGGGGCGGGCACGAAACGCTGCTTGGGTACGAGAGGGATAGGAGGGGGTGGCGCTCAGCCCAAAAGAAGACGTTTCCCGCCGGCCTGTGCAAGTGCATCGCTGCTGCCACCGCTGACGCAGTGCGTGCCACCGGCGGGAAGGGGGCGCAGGCGGCATCGAGCCCATTGTTCCGGGCGACATGGGGGGGGGGGGGGAGATGGTAGAGCACTTGGCGGACTGCTACGCTTCCTTGTCTCCTGGGATCCCTATTCTGGCACAGACGAGGGACGGGCCCCTGACTTTGCATCTCGGCGCATGCGCTGTGTCCGACACGGCCCCGAGCTTGATCGCTTTCGACCGCCACGTGCCCCCCCGACATCAGATCAGGTTGCCTCTGCCACCTCGGAGGTTCGCGATGACATGGCGGAGGTGGGACCCACGGGCCCGCCTGAGGCAGATGAGGAGCAGGAGTATGTAGAGGCACGCGCTTCTCTTTGTGACTCGCATGGGGGAAGCGCACCCCCCCCGCCCGCCCGCCCCTGCGCCGCTAGCGCCTGAAGTCTTTCAGCGCGTCGCGCAGAACCGTGCGCGGGCACGCGGCAGAAGAGCTGCTAAACTCCAGGAAGAGAGAAAGGCTCGCTTGCGCGGAGTAGCCCCTTGGACCCTGGATCCCAATTTTGGCAGAGGCTTGCTTGGATAAGTTGCTGCCTGTCATCTATCATGAGACGTTGGGGATTGTTGTTCAGTCGTGCGCGGATAAGTGGAGGTGCAGTATGGCAAGTTGCCGTTGTCTTCTGTGCCGCGTCCTTCTGCCACCTTCTCTGTCTGCCCGCTCTCTTGCGGCGTGCAACACCGGGGGGCCTGCGGCGTGATGACTCAGGGCCATGCTGTTGCAGCTGCCCCCCTAATTCGAGAGGTTTCGGGCGCCGTAACTTGCGCGGCGAACCTCTCTCGGGGCGGGCAGGCGCGCGCGCCTGCCCGCGCCCGCGCATCGGGCTCGCCGGGCCATCTCAACCCCCCCACTTCCCCTGCCTAGCTTTCAGCTTGCTGTGGGCGGGGCCGGGGGTGGGATTGGCACGAGGGCGGGGGCGGGGTTTCTGCCGTGGCGTTGGAGCAGGCGCTGGCCGCAGGTCGAGCGCGCGAAAATCGCGCGCTCCCGCTGGCCCCATGCCTCGCACCCGCCCCCCACTCAGCTGCCTTTTCGTCAGCCTCTCCTGCATCTTGGTGCTTCTCTTTTCGTTCGATCGCTGGCTGCCGCCCCAGGTCGAGAGGTTTCGGGCGCCGTTCCAGGCGCGGCGAACCTCCTTCGGGGCGGTCAGAGACGCGCGCAGGCCCTGCCCGCGCATCGGACAAGCCAGGCAGTTTCACCTTCCCAGTTTCCCTGGGTATAGGTTTGTTGGCGGGGACGCAGTTCGCGCTGCGGCGATGAGGTAGGCATGGGACACAGGTCGAGCGTGCGAAAATCGTTCACTCCCGCTGGCCCCTGCCTCTCACGCGCCCATTTAGCTGCCCTTTAGGCCTTTTGCAGGCTATCTCACCTGCTTCCCTCTTTGATCAGCCTCCTCTTGCCTTTTCCCTACTCCTGTTGCGTTGCAATGCGCCTTGGGCGCCCTCCGACATGGGGGCGGTGCGGGCTCGGTGACGGGGGCGGGGAGATTAACCAGACTTTGGCGCCCGTGCTGCTAGATACCGCGTGTTTCTGCCAGCGTCTTGTGATAGCTGCGCCAAGCTGACCGTCTCCTCGGCGAATCAGAGCGCAATCCAAAATCCCCCTCTTTCCTGTTCCTCCTCTTCCTCTTCCTCCTCGCCCTCCTCCTCTCCGCTTCCTCTTCCTCCTCCTCCTCCTCCTCCTCCTCCATTCCTTCTCCTTATAGATAACTTCTCCCTGTCGCACCCCGAAGCAAGTTTTTAGGGCGGGTCGGGCGTTTCGCTTGAGATTTCTTCGCCATGTACGAAACGAAGTTAAAACACGCGACAACAGTTTCACACATGGAGGGCTGGTCGTTTGCAAAATGTGGCTCTCGCCATAGCGCCGCGCACGCTCGTTTAAACAATTTCAAGAGCTTCACGGATTGAGGGCGGGTCGTCTTCAAAATGTGGTTCGCCTGAGCGACGCGCAAAATCGCTTCAAAGACTTGCATGAGCTTCACGGGTTGAGGTCGGGTCGTTTTCAAAATGTGGCTTTCGCCCTAGCGCCGCGCACATTCGTTTCAAACTTTGCAAAGCTTCGTGGATTGAGGGCGGGCCGTTTTTAAAATGTGGTTCTCGCCTTAGCGCCGCGCGCACTCGGTCTAACAATTTGCCATATTTTCACGGATCGAGGGCGGTTCCTTGTCAAACTGTGGCTCTCGCCGTAGCGCCGCGCACATTCGTTTTTTATGAATGTGCGAAGGTTTCGTGGATTGAGGGCGGGCCGTTTTCAAAATGTGGCACTCGCTTTAGCGCTGCGCACATTCGTTTGAACACATGCAACAGTTTCACGGATCGAGGGTGGTTCGTTTTCAAAATGTGGTTTTCGCTTCAGCGCCGCGCACATTCGTTTTCAATGTTTGCAGGGGTTTCACGGATTCCCATGATCAGCGTACCAGAAGTTGTGCTTTGGCAGGATTCAGGATTACGCGGGCACAAGAGTTATGTTGATTCGCGGTGTTGAAGGCCCAAAACTGAGCTTTGGTACGATTCCGGATCGTCAATATGCAGCAGTCAGGCTGGTACGTTGCGTTGAAATCCCGGGAACAGTGTTTTGGCATGCTTCAGGATCTTCGAGCGGTTGTTTTCCAACGAAGCAGTTTCCTCAATGGAAATGAACCGTTATGGGGTAGGGGCCTATGACGAGGGAATTTGGAGGGAGGATTCATTCCAACATCTTTGCTGGTTCTTGGGTTTACACTGGTCCTCCTCCTCCTCCTCTCCGCCCTCCCGTCCTCCTCCCTGCCTCCTGAATCGGGACTAGTCCCATGTCATCCATGGTTTCGCTGGTGCCGCCTCGCCTGGCATGCGCCGGGCGAGGTAGGTAGGGCTGCGCCTCGGCCTCGCGGGGTTGCGATAATCCAGAGCACCCAATTTCGAGGAGGAAACAGGTAGGAGACGCGAAGAGTAGGACAGATCAGGGAGGAGGGAACCACTTCTGTAGGAGTTCCAATCTGTAGCGAAACGACATGAGACGTAGGGAGGGGGAGGAGGGTGAAAGGCAGGAGGGGGTGGAGGAGGAGGAGGAGAAGGGTGCGAGGAGGGTGCAATGAGGAAGGCCTCATCCTATCTCCTCCCCAAACCTGCCCCTACATGGCCTCTGGATGGCCACCGCGAGACGACGCCGTAGGCTGCCTGCGCAGGGACGACGACGAAGTCAACGACTGTGGCTTCGGCAGCGGCTTCGGCGGCGCCGACGGCGGCGGCGGCGTGAGGCGGCATCTGGCGTCTTCCGTCTGGGCCTGGAGAGGCACGGGGACAGGGAGCCATCCCTGCTGGCGGCGTGCCTCTGGTCGTCGTCGTAGTCGTCGTAGTCGTCGTCGTCGTCGTCGTCGTCGTCGTCGTCGTCGTCGTCGTCGTCGTCGTCGCCAGGGGGCAGGAGGCAGGAGGCAGGAGGCAGGGAGGGGAGGGGGCGGGGGGGGGGAAGGCCTCCCTCCTTTTCCTCCTCCTCCTCCTCTTCCTCCTGGTCATCCTTCCTCTCCTGAACCGCCCCCCCGCCTCTCCTTTTTCCTGGATGTCCCCGAGGGTGACAACAGCCAACAGTATCAGAAACCTGCCTGGACCTTTAAACATCGATCCTCGATGCTTCTGAGCTTGGTTCTCCATCCTTCCTCTTCCTTCCCCTCCCGCCCTGGTCTCCTCCTCATCTTCACTCCTTATTTTTTCAACTAGTGGGTGATCGAGTGAACAGACACTATGAGTATCCTCACTCCTGATTCCTCGGTCGCCCTCACCCCTCACAATTCCTTCTCATCCGACTCCGCCTCCTCAGTACTCATTACTCACTCTTTAACTCCCGCCTCCCTTTTTCCTCGTGGCTTCAGGGGCAAAGTTTCGGGGGTATCGGCGCACGGGTGAACAGCATCTTCGCCCATTCGTCCACTCATCGCCGATAGGAGCCTGTAAGCAAACCCCGCCCTGGTCCATGACCGATTCAAGACCGATGTTCAATTCTCTCCTTGAGCAAGGTTCCCCCTATCGTTGACCCTCAGGGCTGGCAAGCAGGGGTGAATATCGAAGGCAAGCTGGATCCAGAAGGGAAAAGGAGGATGAGCATTCCCCTCCCGCTTCCTTCATCCCTTATCAACCCCCTTTTGTTTCCATACCTCCTCATGTCCCCCCTCTCCTCCTCCTCGTCCTCCTCCTCCTCCTCCTCCTCCTCGTCCTCCTCCTTCTTGTCTCCTCGTCCTCCTCGTCCTCCTCCTCCTCCTCCTCCTCCTCCTCCTCTCTGTTTTCTCCTCTTCGTCCTCCTCATCATCATCACCATATTCATCATATCATCATCAGCATCGTCATCCTCCTCATTCTCACCATCATCATGCTTATCATCATCAGCATCATCAACATCATCGCTATCAACATCATCGCCATCATCATCATCAGCATCATCATCACCGTCATCAGCAACAGCATCAGCATCAGCAGCAGTAGCAGCATCATCACCGATATCATTATCGTCATCATCATCAACTTTCCCCTGCTCCCCTTCCTGTTCCTCCTTATCCCCTCCCCTGCTCCCCTTTCATGTTCCTCCTCCTGCCCCTTCTCATCAACCTCATCATCTCCCCCATTCCTGCCCGATGAGGTAGATGAGGATGAGGAGGTAGAGGTTGACGAGACGGAGGTGAAGAGCCTTCTCTCTCTCTCTCTCTTTCTCTCTTGGAGCCTCCAGGTAGGCCCGAAAAGCTGTCCGAATCCTGTCCAGGAGCTCCCAGGGGCTCCAGGAGAGCCCCAAGCAGCCACGATCTCCCAACTGAGGCTGGAGATCGTTGCGGATCAGGGCCCCCTGAATGCCTTGCTGGGGCCTACTGGGGTCTTCTCAGGAGTCCACTCTCTCTCGGAGCCTCCAGGGAGGCTCGAAAAGTTATCTGAATCCTGCTCAGGAGCTCCCAGGGGCTCCAGCAGAGAACCAAGAAGCCACGATCTCCCAATTGAGGCTGGTGATCATGGCGGATAGGAAACCTCTGAGAGGCCCCACCGGGGCTTCCTGTGGTCATCTTGGGGTTTTCTCGGGAGTCCTCCTCCTCTGTCTCTCTCTCTCTCTCGCTCTCTCTCGGAGCCTCCACGGAGGCCCGGAAAGCTGTCCGAATCCCACCCAGGAGCCCCCAGGGGCTCCAGGAGAGCCCCAAGAAGCCACGATCTCCTAACTGAGGCTGGAGGTCGTGGCGGATAGGAAGCCTCTGAGAGGCCCTGCCGGGGCCTCCTATGGCCTCCTTTGGGACTTCCTCGGGAGCCCTCTCTCTCTCTCTTTGTTCTCTCGTACTCTCTCTCGGAGCCTCCAGGGAGGCCCGAAAAGCTGTCTGAGTGCCGCCCAGGAGCCCACAGGGGCTCCAGGAGAGCCCCAAGAAGCCACGATCTCCTAACTGAGGCTGGAGATCAAGGCGAATCAGGGCCCCCTGAGAGGCCCTGCCGGGGCGTCCTGTGGTTTTCTCGGGGCTTTCTCGGGAGCCCTCTCTTTTTCTCTCTCGGAGCTTCCCTTCAGGAGTGGCCCGACAAGCTGTCCGAATCCCGCTCAGGAGCCCACAGGGGCTCCAGGAGAGCCCCAATAAGCCACGATCTCCCAAGTGTCGCTGGAGATCGTGGCGGATCATTGTTCCCTGAGAGGCCCTGTCGGAGCGTCCTGGTACTCCTTGGGGTTTTCTCGGGAGCCCTCTCTCTCTCTCTCGGAGCCTCCAGGGTGGCTGTGGGCTCCAGGAGAGCCCAAAGAAGCCACGATCTCCCAACGGAGGCCGGAGATCGAGGCGGATCATGGCCCCCCGAGAGGCCCTGCTAGGGCCTCCTGTGGTCTTCTTGGGGCTTGATCAGGAGCCTTGTCTCTTTCCCTCTCTCTGCAAATGTATGTGCATAAGTGTTTATAGTATACATATATAGATATATCGGAGTCTCCGGCGAGGTCCAACACCACCACAAAGCCGAGCATCCGGAAAGAACGATTTGCAAATCTTCAGGACATGCAAGGAAAACGCTGCACTTTGATTGCGCGTGCATGGAACCTTCGACTGGGAAGAGTGCGTGGAAAGAAGAGTCAGAGGAATGGCAAATATAGAAGCCGTGCGTGCTCAGATGTTCCTCGACAGGTCGCAAACTGCAAATGCCCACTGTTGTCGCGGTCGTCCACGCCTGCGCTTGACAGCCCAATATTTCGGCATCCCCTCCGAATTGCAAACAATTCGCCTTACCAAAGAAGTAGGCCCATGTGATGCGACTTTCTTGAACAGTTGAATATGTTGATCATGCAATAGATTGGGAAGTTGTTCTGTTTTTGCCTTGTTGGGAACGTTTGCGTTGTTGACCTTTGAGAATAATGAATGGTGTATGCATAATATACGTCTGCACGTCGCAACCAGCGGCAATGAAACGCATCGAGCCTGTATGTGTCTGCCTTCAAAAGCCACATCGAGTCCAATGAGTATCAGAGCCCGCTTAGAACGACACTGTCGTAGATCTTGTGCTTTCGTCTCCACCCAAGGGATGTGTGAGGCAAAGTTCGCAGAGCTGTTTGAATGTTTTGTTTGCTTCCCCTCTCTTCTGCATAGCTCGGCGGACGCTTTCCCACCACATGTAATCAAGCCTCCAAAATAAACAGTATCCTGGACAGTCTTAATATCATCCCCACCTGGCGTCGTAAGTTTGTGGTTTGTTAAAATATGCATGTGTACTGATTTCTCCCAGTTGAGTTCCAATCCATATTTGCGCTCTTCTTTAACAATTGCGTTCGGCGTGTTCTGAAGGTTTGATTGGTGTTCTGGTCACTATCTAGGTTCTCTATCTAGACATCTAGACGTAGCGCGTCGTTCGCGTCCTGCAGAACAACGGCTTGGAATGCTTTGAACAAGTATGGAGAGGCCCTACCGGGGCCTCCTGTGGTCTTCTCGGGGCTTTCTCGGCGGCCCTCTCTCTCTGTATATATGTGTATATATGTATGTATGTGTATAAATATATGTATATATATACATATCTATTATGTATGTTTGTATATATATATATATATATATGTATATGTGTAGCCCTCTCTCTCTCGGAGCCTCCAGGGAAGTCCGACAAGCTGTGTACACCCCGCTTAGGAGTCTCCACGGGCTCCACGATTTTTGAACTGAGGCTGGAGATCTTGGCAGATCAGGGCCCCCTGCGAGTCCCCGCTGGGGCCTCCTGTGGCCTTTTTTGGGGGGTTCTAGCGAGACCTTTCTTCCAGGGAGGCCCGACAAGCTGTCCGAATCCCGCCCAGGAGCTCCCAGGGGCGCCAGAAGAAACCCAAGAAGGCACAATCTCCCAACTGAGGCTGGAGATCGTGCCGGATTGCCCGACTCCCCGACTCTCCGATTATCCAGCCGAGTCCCCGACTCCCCGAGCCCCTGATTCCCCGACTCCCCGGCTGGCCGACTCCCCGACTCCCCTGCTCCCCGCCCTTGCTGGCCGACTCCCTTGACTCGCCGACTCCCTGATTGGCCGACTTTTCGACTGGTCGACTCCCCGACTCCCCGACTGGCCGACGCCCCGACTGGCCGATTAGACGACTCCCCGATTTCCCGACTCCCGACGGGCTGGTTTCCCGATTGGCCAGAACCCCGACGGGCATCTTCTCACCAGTCGAATCCGAGGCCCAGCCCCCGCCCTCGAGAATGTGGAGTTTCGATTTGTTTTCGCAAGTCCCGGGCGGTGTTGCGAGCGGGCCTCATTCAAGGGCTCCCTCGAGGGCGCGAAGTTATTCGCGCTTCGCGCTTCGCGGTCCTCGTTCCTTCTCCCCCTCCTCCTCGTCCTCCTATTCTCCCTTTGGGAGGGCGGCGCGAGAGCGCGAAGTTATTCGCGCTTCGCGCTTCGCGCAGCGCGAAGCGCGAAGTTGGGAGCCCTAGTCATTGGAGTTCGACAAATGTGGGCGTCTGGTATGTAATGGCCGCCGTTGCGCGCCTTGCTCTTCCAGGGCCACGCGGCGGAGGGTCGACGGGGGCTTCCCCTGACATACAACAACCAGACAAGGAGGGGAAACAAACGAAGGTTCCAAAACATTAGCCTGGCGAAGGACCCAACCATATGCAGTTGTGAGTACCGTCGTTGTTATGCACCGCATTCGGAGGAGCTCCCTATAGGGCCACGAAACGTGTGAGGAGTGTGCCACACATTGTCTGGCGGGCGCATGCGAAAGCAACCAAATGGGGCCGTCGGTGGAAGTCCCTATTGGGCCACGAAACGTGTGAGAGGTGTGCCGAAATAGGTGCGGTGAGCGCATGCGAACGCAGCCACTGGGGCCGTCGGTGGAGCTCCCTATGGTGCCACGAAACGTGTGAGGGGTGTGCCGAAATGGTTGGGCGTGACGCATTCGGGCGGTGGCACAGGGGGCCTTCGGTGGAGCTCCCGATGGGGCCACGACACGTGTGAGGGTGTGGCGAAATGGGCGTCGTGCGGTGGCACCGGGGCCTTCGGTGGAGCTCCCGATGGGGCCACGAAACGTGTGAGGGGTGTGCCGAAATGGGCGTGGGTGACGCATGCGGGCTGTGGCACTGGGGCCTTCGGTGGAGTTTCCTATGGGGTCACGAAACGTGTGAGGGGTGTGCCGGAATGGGTGTGGGTGACGCATGCGGGCGGTGGCACTGGCGCCTTCGGTCGAGCTCCCGATGGGGCTACGAAACGCGTGAGGGGTGTGACGAAATGGGTGTGGGTGACGCATGCGGGCGGTGGCACTGGGGCCTTCGGCGGAGCTCCCTATGGGGCCACGAAACGTGTGAGGGGTGTGCCAAAATGGGTGTGGGTGACGCATGCGGGCGGTGGCACTGGCGCCTTCTGTAAAGCTCCCAATGGGGCCACGATACGTGCGAGGGGTGTGCCGAAATGGGCGTGGGTGACGCATGCGGGCGGTGGCAGTGGGGCCTTCGGTGGGGCCCCCTCATGGGGCCACGATACGTGCGAGGGGTGTGCCGAAAGTGGTGTGGGTGACGCATGCGGGCGGTGGCACTGGGGCCTTCGGTGGAGCTCCCGATGGGGCCACGAAACGTGAGAGTGGTGTGACGAAATGGGTGTGGGTGTCGCATGCGGGTGGTGGCACTGGGGCCTTCGGTGGAGCTCCCGATGGGGCCACGACACGTGTGAGGGGTGTGCTGGAATGGGCGTGGGTGACGCATGCGGGCGGTGGCAGTGGGGCCTTCGGTGGAGCTCCCGATGGGGCCACGAAACGTGTGAGTGGTGTGACCAAATGGGTGTGGGTGTCGCATGCGGGCGGTGGCACTGGGGCCTTCGTTGGAGCTCCCGATGGGGCCACGACACGTGTGAGGGGTGTGCTGGAATGGGCGTGGGTGACGCATGCGGGCGGTGGCAGTGGGGCCTTCGGTGGAGCTCCCGATGGGGCCACGAAACGCGGGAGTGGTGTGACCAAATGGGTGTGGGTGTCGCCTGCGGGCGGTGGCACTGGGGCTTTCGGTGGAGTTTCCTATGGGGTCACGAAACGTGTGATGGGTGTGCCGAAATGGGTGTGGGTGACGCATGCGGGCGGTGGTACTGGGGCCTTCGGTAAAGTTCCAATGGGGCCACGAAACGCGTGAGGGGTGTGCCGGAATGTGCGTGGGTGACGCATGCGGGCGGTGGTACAGGGCCTTCGGTGGAGCTCCCGATGGGGCCACGAAACGTGTGAGGGGTGTGACGGCATGGGTGTGGGTGACGCATGCGGGCGGTGGCACTGGGTCCTTCGGTGGAGCTCCCAATGCGGCCACGAGGCGCGTGAAGGGTGTGCCGGAATGGGCGTGGGTGACGCATGCGGGCGGTGGCCTTGGAACCTTCGGTGGAGCTCCCGATGGGGCCACGCAGCGTTGTACTTTGGGTGGGTCAAACGCAAGGAGGGAGGGGGGCGGAGGGAGGAGGGACGCGGGGCGCTGTCTGTTCAAAACGAGGACCCACCACCACAGGATGGTTGGGAATAACTCACATGCGTTAAATAATTTTCCGATGTTCATGTTGACCAAATATTAGCTTTGAGGAAAGAATGGTACCAGTGAGCATTTAATGCATGTGTGCAGTTTTGCTTGAATTGATAGCCGCCCTCGTTTAATCCATGCTCGTTCTTTCCAAAAAATACATCTTCATCTAGGCGCCGCCGTGAGATCTGGTCACCTCATCGCCGCGGTATGTCGCTCGGCCACAATGGCAGTGGGCTCAACTGGGGAGGGGACAGAGACGTAATCGGTGAGTGAACGGCGCGGAGATACTTCGAAGTTTCACGCACGTTCGCAACCAGGAGTGAACGCGCGGTTTGCGCAGCGCCCTTGCAGGCGTGCTCTACGCGAGGGTGCGGATCGAGACAGACTTTCCCAAATGAGTTCGAAATTGGTTTAAGAGGGGGTTGTGGCCTCCGATCTCACTGGCTATATTCCCCGACTGGCCGACGTTTCGCCGTCCGATTCCCCGAGCCCCCGACTCCCCGACGGCCGACCCCCCGATTGGCTGACTTGCCCGATTCCCCGACTTCCCGACTCCCTTGCTCCCCGACCGGCCGACTCCCCGACCCCCCGACTGATCGACTTCCCGATTCCCCGATGAGCCGACTCCCCGACACCCCGACTCCCCATTTGTTCGCCTACCCGGGTGGCCGACTCTTTGATTATTTGTCCCCCCGATTCCCCGACCTCACATTTTTGGAGAGTCGGTGAGTTCATTCCGGCGCTTCAAAGATTATCCTGGTCTCCCGGGCGGCTCCGGGGACCATCTCGGGGGCTTTGCACGGGGGCCGGCCGTTTCGGGGCTATTTCAGAGGCCGTCGAGCGAGAAGGGCGGTGGGCGTTGGCTCAAGCCATTCTAGCTTCCGCGCTCTTCGCGTTCAGGCTGTCGAGCGTGGCTGCAGTCGAGGTCATGGCCCACGTCCCCACGAACTCCGCTGGCTTCACCGGAGGCAACCGCGTGGGCGGGTTCCAGAACCTCCCGGCGCAGGCCAACAATTACCTCCCTGGTTCAGCACGTGACGAACGGGAACGCGGCGACCGCGCGTCAGTGCGGCAGAGCCGACCGGAGTTCGAGGGGGAACAACTTCTGGCATGAGTACTTGCCCCACCCTGGCGACGCGGCGGCGTCGGCGTGGGCCTCGCGTGGGAAAACCACATCGGCGCCCTCCGCCAGGGTCTGCCGCGCGGCGCGGGCGCGGGTCAGGTCGCGGACCTCCCGCTGCTCGCCGCCATCGGGTTCTGCAACATCTCCGCGCGCCGCATTCTGGACGCGGGGGTCACTGTCCAGGACGAGCGTGCGGACCAGTCCTGCATCTGCGCGAACATTGCCACCGGGGCTGTGCATGTCCGCGCAGATACTGGGCGAACTCGATCAGCTTCGCTGTGTCCGGCGCCCTCGTCTCGCCTGGCGGCGGCGCCCTGAGCCCGGTCGCGGCGGGCAGCGGGGCTTCGCGCATGGTCGGCGACGCGCGCGACTACGCGTCTGTGGACGCCGCGCTGCCCCAGGTCGCGATGGACGCGATCGGGTCGCTCATGAACATCGATCTCGGCGAGACCCTGGGCGCGGCGGTGCTCGGCCACTCCGCCGCGCAGCTGGAGGCCAATGGGCATCGCTTCCTGTCGACCGACTCGGCGGTTGAGAAATTGCGGCCCGAACTCGATGCCCATCTCGCGCCGCAGGCGAACATCGCGGGAGTCGCGCCGGCCGCGCTCCTTTCAGCTGATCGGCCACTGCCCCAGCCACGGCATCGACCGCAACGAGATCGCCGCGTTGGCCGCTGGCCCCGACGCCGAGCCCGCGCTGTCGAAGGCGGGCCTGCCCGAGCTCGTGGCCCGCTTTCCATTGGCGGTGGCGGCGGAGCAGGCAGCGGCGGCCCGCCTTGCGATTGCGCGCAGATGCGAAGCGCAGGCGCGCCAGGTCGGTGGGGGCCCAGACGCGAGGGCGGCCGCGGCCACCCAGGCGCCCGTGGTCTCGCTGACTTACGCGCAATGCGTTGCGCTCGAGGCCGCGATCCGCTAGGTGATGGCGCAGCTCGAACCGACCGTCGCGTTCGCGGCCGGCGAGGGGCGCGTCCGAGCTGCCCAAAGCTCCAAGCGCGAAGAAGTTTGATAACTTCGCGACAGGCTCGGCCCGGGGGGGACAGCTCTCCGCGCCCTCGCGGACTGCGGGGTCGACCTAGTCACCGCCCCCGTGGCCGCCTTCACCCTCGCCACCTTGGGCCCGCCGGTCACCCCGCACCCCGGCGGCGTCGCGCCCGCGGCGGCCCCGGCCAAGGGCCCAGCCACCATGGGCGACGCGAGCGCCACCCGCGACGCCTCGCGCGGTCGGCAGGCTGCGCGGCGAGGGCGAGCCGCCGCGGTAGCTGCCGCTAACATAACAACGTGGCCCCGCCGCCGCCTGTCGGCGCGGGCCCAGACCTCGCCGCTCTCTTCCGAGCGCTGTTGGGCAAGGCAGCGCCGCGGTGTGAAGCTCCCATGATGGGCCTACTGCTCGCAGCGCGCCCCTTGCGCTTGCGGGCCTGCCCGCGGTGGCCGGCGGCTGTCGGGCTAGTTGATTTTCTAGCGACCTTGGCCAGCTTCTCGCGCGCCGTCATGCTTGCCGGCTGGTTCGCGCATGCGCCTCAGGTGGCAGCTCGGGCGCAGGCCTGGGCCCGGCCTTTTCCTTTGGCCAACGGCTCGGTTTTGGTTTCAGCCGCGGTGATCTGCATGTGTGCAAACAAAAAATGAGAGGGGCGGTGGGCGTTGATTGTTGCGTCCATGTCGGCGATTAAAAAATCGTTTGTTGGTGGCCTGTCGGGGCGGTCTTTGGTGTTCTCGGAACCGTCCCAGGCCCTTCTCGGGGCCCTCTCGCTCTTTAGAGGGCTTCCTCTTGCCGCTGCGGAGACGCGGGCCTGTCGGGGGAGAAAAGACGAGAAGGCGATCATCCATGGTCTCGGCGGACCTGGGTTCTTCGGGGGCGTCTTCGGAAGGCCCCGCGGCCGTCTGGGGCAGGGTCGGAGCGATCTCGGGATCTCCTGGAGGCATGTTGGGGGCTATCTTGAGCCGCGTTCGAGAATGTGAAGCGACATGGGCGGCCACCTTGTTATTTCTCGCCTTTCCAGGGCCGCCGCGGACGCTCCAGCGGCCCGCGGCCGGGCCCCTCCAAGCCTCGGGGCGGGGCGACGGGGGGGGGGGGGCGGGGGGCGCGCGGAAGGGCAATCGCCCTTCCGAGAGGGAGGGGCGTCGGGGGAACGAGCCCTGCAAATCGCGCGGCCAAAAAGGCAGGTGGGATTTCTGGGGACTAGCGGCCCGGGCGTCGCAGGACTTGGGGGCGCGCCAGCTCATGCTTGTGGCGCGCTGGCAGATCGCGCGCCCGGCATCTGAGTAGGCCGCGGCTTAAATTGACCCCCCCCTTCGCATAATTCCGCCCAAGAAAAGCCGAAATGTAGCCGTGCTCTGTGGGCGAGCAGCTTTCCTGCGAGCGTGGCTTTTTTCATTGAGCGAGCAGCTTTTCTGCGTGCGCGAGTAGCTAGAGCTTCGGCGCGTTTGAGTGTCGGGCGCGCCGGTCTGCTCTAGCGCAGCCCGTGCGAGTTTCAACCCGATTCGACTGCGGATCTGTGCGTGCGCCATCGCTCCATGATGCGTTCTGCGAGCTTCAGGACATGGCGTGTTTTTTTGTTGTCGCTGTGATGATGCGCGCGCCCCGCACGGGCGCCTTCGTCTGCCCTGGCCGATTGGGTGGGCACTGCAAGATCTTGCAAGGTTTAGGGGTCTCTCGCGCTTTTCGTCGGTCCGGGTCTCTTCGCGGTTTTCGCGCTCGCGGGCGTCCAGCGGGATCGCCCGTAAGATGCAGGTGGCGCGCGCCTTTCCCCCGTTCGTTTGTTGCTATTTTGGTTGTGCGGGAAAATGACAGTCCGTTTTATTGCAATACAAGCACATAGAAATCATCAGCAAAAAACCTTCCCGCTCATCCCGCGCCCTTGGACTCCCTCCCACGGCAATCACCCCCCACAAGACCAGCCCCAATATGCACTTTGATGGCGGGGGCTTATGTGACCCCGACGTCGGGTTCACTCATTCGTTTCTTTGCCATGGCTCCTCCACCCTTCATCCCTCCTTGGTCCTCCCTCCTCCCTTCTCGTCCCTCCCTCCTCGTTCCTCCCTCATCCTCCCTCCTCCCTCCCTCCTCGCTCCTCCCTCCTCCCTCTTCCCTCCTTCGCCCCCCTCCTACCTCCTTCGCTCCCTTCCTCGTCATCCGAACCATGGATAATCTTCAATGCCAGACAACTCGATTGAAGGCCATTCCCAGTGCTCCCATAGCATTGTGGCCTCATGTTTGCCTCGCCTGCGCCTCGGCTGTCCCGCGGCTGTCCCGCGGCTGTCCCGCGGATGTCCCGCGGCTGTCCCGCGGCTGTCCCGCGGCTGTCCCGCGGCGGGCCGCGGCTTTACTGGCCCGGGCCGCAGCTTTATTGCCCGACGGCCCGCTTTGCTTCGGCTGTCCCGCGGCTGTCCCGCGGCTGTCCCGCGGCTGTCCCGCGGCTGTCCCGTGGCTGTCCCGCGGCTGTCCCGTGGCTGTCCCGCGGCTGTCCCGGCGCAGTCTGGCGCTGTCATATTACACTTGAACATGTGTTTTCGGTCGCCAATACCAGCGGCACGCGGCACGTCCGGCCCCACACAGTTGGTATCATCATTATAGTTGCATTGCTGCCTGCGGACACTGCTCGGAACAACGAGAAGGCGACACCAACTTGTTCATAGTATTGTCATTAAAGGAGTTGGGCTTCCCGGGGGCCTCCTGGGGGAGCGCCGTGGCCACTTGGAGCCGCCTTGGGGCGGCCGCGGGACATCTCGGAGGCAAATTGGAAGGTATCTTGAACGACGTTGGGTTCTCATGAGTCATATTTGAGGTCATCATGGGCTTTCTGGGGCCGTCGCGGAGCCATTTTGGGCCATCTTAGGCGCTCTAGCCCATCGCGGGGGAAGAGCATCAGACCCATGGTTTTAGGAAGAGGGCGACGCATGGGGGGGCAAAACGATTCCCTGAGTCCATTCACGCCGATCGCTTCCAGTGAAAGTTCATGTGCGCGCCATTGTATTGACGCACGCGTTCTCGTGTGTGCGTGTTCAGTTGCGCGCGTTTTCTCGCGCGCGCATGCGTTTCCACACTGCCCTCCAATTATTGGCCATGTGTGTCTCGCCGTTTCGACCTACCGACGCCTGTTCGTACTGATGTTTGTAAGAGATCACATGCCCCGGAATTTCCTACACCTGTTCAACAACCAGGGCATGCATTCAATTGCACATGCACCTGCCGTTTCACACCGAGTTATATATGCCCGGACTTGCGTGTGCATATTGTGCCGTCTCGGCGCTCTCTTGTCGTTCGCCCTCCACGTTGCTTTCCTTTTCTGTGTCCGCCAGGTCCGTGACCGTGTCTGTTCCTGTCAAGGATGTAGTTCCTATGGATATCCCCTTCGTGGAAGATCGTCCCTGTGTCGCCGACATGCTACCCCGTCGCTGTGCTACAGCAGTGCTGCAGCTGCGCAGCCGTCCTCAGTCGTGCTGCTGCGGCTATGTCGCGGCGTCCCGCGGCGATGCCGCCCAAGAGCCCGCTTTGCTTCGGCTGCCCCGCGGCTGTCCCGCGCGCCCTTTTCAGCGCAGGGCGGGGTCGCCTCGACGAACGCAAGCCGCGGCCTCCTCACCGGCATCGCAGATTCGCGAGCGCGACGCCGCAGCTGGGGCAGTTCTGCTGGCAAAGATGCGCAAAGGTGTGCATGGCCACTGCGGCGTTGGGATGCTGGAGCGACGTGGGCCCCGTGCGCGCGCTCGACGTGCCATGTTTGCGCTTGCGCAGACGCGGCTCTCGGCTGGCTCATCGGCGCGCGCGGGTGGCCCATGTCTCCCAGCGCGCCGTGACTGTCGATTCCCAGCAAGATGAAGTCCGCGGCCGTCGCCGGTTTTCGAGAACGCCGCGACTTCTCGACCAGGGGCGCTCCGCCGCAAACATCCGCGCGGCGAGCTCCGCGTCGAAGAGAGCGGCGGAGATTGGCGAGATGCTGTTTCCAGAGAACTCGAGCGCTGCCCGGGGCCTAGCTCGCCGCGCGCGTCTTCCCGGGAAAGCTTTTCGACGTGCAAGTTCGGGGCGAGGATGGCTGACGGGCCAGAGGGGGCGTTTTGGTCAGCGGCCGCCCGATGCAAACAGCGCGCGCAAGAGCTGGGATCGCGCTGGAGCTGGACTGGGCGCAGCAGGAGCTGGAGGAGCGCGCCAGATGCGGCGGGGGGGGGGGGGGGGTCGAGAAGGAGACGCGCCCAGAGCGTGGAGATCTGGCGGGGAGGAGCTGCACGGCGAAGTGGAAGTCCCCGGCATAAGTCGCCAGGCCGCGTCCTGGCGCGCGAGGCGAATCGAAGGGGGCAAAGGTGAATGCTGCCAGGGCGAGGAGTCCGCGCGCGTCGCAAGCAAGACCAAGCGTTGACCAGCGCCCACGGCAAATGGGTCAATCGCATCATTGCGCGAAGTACGGGCGACCAGGGGCAGCGGCATCTGGCGCCCCGTGGCACCGCGGGCAGGCCAGGAAAAAATGAGCAATGTTGAAAAGCACGCGTGAACAACCCAGAATTGTGACGCCCCAATTAATCGGGGCGAGGGCCACATTTGATGATTCGTTTTTTGTTGTGTTGTATTGTATAAGCAAGCGCCTTGATTTCCGCGTTTACAATGATTTCCCGGTCTTTGTTCGAGGGCCCTGGAAGGTCCTGAGGTTTCCTGGACATGGAACGCGAGGTGGGAAGTGGACTCGACACACACGCACACGCGCGCGCACACGCGCGCGCACGCACTTCGACACCGTATTTGGCACCTCGTAAACAACCCAACTAATATATACATGTCTAGCGAGAGCGAGAGAGAGAGAGAGAGAGAGAAAAAAAAAAAAAGAGAGAAAACAAACAAAGAAATCGCCAGACGAAGGACCCAACCATATGCAGGTGTGGGTGCCGCAAATGTGATTCACTTTTCGGTGGTGGTCCCCATGAGGCAACGAACCGTGCTAGGGATGTGCCGACATGAGTGGCGCGGTACACAGCGCATCTGCGTGCGAGCGAGACTCGTGCAAGATTGCGAGTATGATGGTGCAATTGCACATGAATGTCAATAGTTTGAGCATGACTGCCTTTGAGTACTCGTGACGCTGGGCGTGGCCGCCGCAAGGAGCTTCCCCGGGACTCCCCGACGGCGTCGCCCGCGCGCCGCGACGCCAATGTCAGCGCGCTCTTCCGCGAGGATCGCGCCCGCTTCCTCCCCTTCTTTTGCTCCCTCTTTGCCCGCGCACCCAAAAGTCCAAGGCTGCGGGCGCAGCGCAGCGCGGAGCCCCCGCGACGCGCGCAGGTCGCCCCGGAGGGGTCCCAGCGACGCGCGCGGGTCGTCCGCTGCGCGGAGCAAAGAGAGCTCGCTGGCTGATAGCGGGCAAGGCTCTTGCCGCTGGGCAGAACGACGACGGGCGAGCGAGGCGCTGGGCAGAACGCAGCGCGGAGTCCCCGCGACGCGCGCTGGTCGCCCGGGGGGGATCCCGGCGACGCGCGCGGGTCGCTCGCTGCGCGGAGCAAAGAGAGTTTGCTGGTTGGCTGATAGCGGGCAAGGCTCTTGCCGCTGGGCAGAGCGACGACGGGCGAGCGAGGCGCTGGGCAGAACGCAGCACGGAGTTCCCGCGACGCGCGCTGGTCGCCCCGAGAGGGCCCCAGCGACGCGCGCGGGTCGTCCGCGGCGCGAGGTCAATCAATTAGTCAGACCGTCGAGAGACGGCGAGGCTCGGTCGGGCCGCTCCTCAGATCAAGCCTCGCGGATAAACTCGGTGAAGCCCAGCTCCCTGGCGGCACTGGCGAGGGCCGTCGCCTCCCTCCTGCGCCGCTTCGTGCGCGCGGCAAACTGCTCCAGCTGCTTCCGAAAGCCCTCTGGCGGCCCTGCCGGGAAGAACTCGATGCGCGGCGCCCGCGCGGGCAGGGGGCCCTCGCGGCGCGTGGCGCGCGAGAGCAGCGCGTAGAGCTCCAGCCACCAGTCGTCGTCCTCCTTCTTGCCGTTCCCCACTTCGTGGCGGCCGCAGTCCAGGATCACGCCTGGGCGACGTCGGCCGAGGGAGCAGCGCGCTGGAAAGGCGACGGCCCAGGGCGAGAGTCCACGGGACCGAGAGAAGGTCTGGCTGCGGACTGCTCGCGCATGCGGAGATGCATGCGGACTGCGTCACGGGGACGCATGCGGGCTGCGTCGCGGGGACCTTCGGCGGGGCTCCATATGGGGCCACGACGCGCTGTACTGGGTGCGGGAGACGCACGCGGACTGCGCCACGGGGACCTTCGGTGGAGTCCCCTATGGGGCCACGAAGCGTGCGCGGGGTGTGCCGAAATGAGTGGCGGGGGCGCCTGCGGGCTGTGCCACTGGAACCTTCGGCGGAGCTCCGATGGGGCCGCGAAGCGTGTGAGGGGTGTGCCGAAATGAGTGGCGGGGGCGCATGCGGACTGTGTCACCGGGACCTTTGGCGGGGCTCCTATGGGGCCACGAGGCGTGTGGGGGGTGTGCTGCAATGAGTAGCGGGGACGCATGCAGACTGTGCCACTGGGACCTTTGGCGGAGCTCCGATGGGGCCACGAAGCGTGTGAGGGGTGGGCCGAAATGGGTGGCGGGGGCGCATGCGGACTGTGCCGCTGGGGCCGTCGGCGGAGCTCCTATTGGGCCACGAAGCGTGTGCGGGGTGTGCCAAAATGAGTGGCAGGGACGCATGCGGACTGTGCCACTGGGACCTTCGGCGGGGCTCCTATGGGGCCACGAAACGTGTGGGGGGCGTGCTGCAATGAGTTGCGGGGGCGCGTGCAGACTGTGCCACTGGGACCTTTGGCGGAGCTCCGATGAGACCACGAAGCGCGTGAGGGGTGGGCTGAAATGAGTGGCGGGGGCGCAAGCGGACTGTGCCACTGGGGCCGTCGGCCGAGCTCCTGTGGGGCCACGAAGCGCGTGGGGGGCGTGCCGAAATGAGTGGCGGGGACGCATGCGGATTGTGCCATTGGGTTGTTCGGCCGAGCCCTTATGGGGCCACGAAGCGTGTGCGGGGTGTGCCGACATGAGTGGCGGGGGCGCATGCGGATTGTGCCACTGGGACCTTTCCGGCGGAGCTCCTATGGTGCCACGAAGCGCGTGAGGGGTGGGCCGAAATGAGTGGCGGGGGCGCATGCGGACTGTGCCACTGTGACCTTCGGGGGGGCCCTTATGGGGCCACGAAGCGCTGTACTGGGTGGGGGAGACGCATGCGGACTGCGCCACGGGAACCTTCGGTGGGGTTCCATGTGGAGCAACGAAACGTTGTATTGGATGAGGGAGACGCATGTGGACTGCGCCACTGGGACCTTCGGCGGAGCCCCTTATGGGGCAGCGAAGCGCTGTAGTGGGTGGGGGGGACGCATGCGGACTGCGCCACGGGGACCTCCGGTGGGGCTCCATACGGGGCGACGAAACGCTGTACTGGGTGAGGGAGACGCATGCGGACTGCGCCACGGGGGCCTTCGGCGGAGCCCCATATGGGGCCACGACACGCTGTACTGGTTGGGGGAGATGCATGTGGACTGCGCCACGGGCACCTTCGGTGGGGCTCCATGTGGGGCGACGAAACGTTGTATTTGATGAGGGAGACGCATGCGGACTGCGCCACGGGGACCTTCGGCGGAGCCCCTATGGGGCCACGGCACGCTGTACTGGTTGGGGGAGATGCATGTGGACTGCGCCACGGGGACCTTCGGTGGGGCTCCATGTGGGGCCCCGAAACGTTGTATTGGGTGAGGGAGACGCATGTGGACTGCGCCACGGGGGCCTTCGGCGGAGCCCCTATGGGGCCACGAAGCGCTGTAGTGGGTGGGTGGGGGGGGGACGCATGCGGACTGCGCCACGGGGACCTTCGGTGGGGCTCCATATGGGGCGACGAAACGCTGTACTGGGTGAGGGAGACGCATGCGGACTGCGCCACGGGGACCTTCGGCGGAGCCCCTATGGGGCCACGACGCGCTGTACTGGTTGGGGGAGATGCATGTGGACTGCGCCACGGGGACCTTCGGTGGGGCTCCATATGGGGCGACGAAACGTTGTATTGGATGAGGGAGACGCATGCGGACTGCGCCACGGGGACCTTCGGCGGAGCCCCTGGGGGGCCACGAAGCGCTGTACTGGGTGGGGGAGACGCATGCGGACTGCGCCACGGGCACCTTCGGCGGAGCCCTTATGGGGCCACGAAGCGTTGTGATGGTTGGGGGAGACGCATGCGGACTGCGCCACGGGGCCTTCGGTGGAACTCCCTATGGGGCAACGAAACGTGTGATGATGTTGATGATGCTTGTGTTGATGACGATGATGATGACGACGATGATGATGATGGTGATGATGATGATGACGACGATGGTGATGACGATGATGAGAGGAAAGGAGGAGGGAGGAGGAAGGAGGAGGAGACGCGGGGACCGTCTCTTCAACACGAGGACTCAACACCACAGGATGGGTGGAAACAACGAGAGAGAGAGAAAGAGACAACGAGAAAGAGAGAGAGAGAGAGATATTGTGATATGTTGTAAAACGATATGTGTCGTTCGTTGATTGGTCGTGTTGTTTCGCCCTTCCATCAACCTAATACCTGCTGGTCAACGCCTTCCCTTGTGGCGATATTGCAGCGACGCATGTCCGTGCGCGAGCTATGTAATTGACTTATTATGGTGGTGGCTTCGCAAAAAACGGGACATATACATCGAGACGGAAAGCGAGAGCACGAAACACCAAACCCAACAACACAATGCTCAACGTCGATCCAACAAATCTTCTCGGACCCCCGGAAGTTTATGTTCATGCAGTTGTGCGTTCTTCTATGTCTGCTCCTCCTCCCCTCCCTGCCCTTCCCTTCCCCCGTGCTCCTCCCCAGGAACGGCCGTGGGGTAGGGTAGGTTTCGCATCGCCGCGTTTATCCGCGTGGGTTAGCCTTCGTCGGTTTGGCCTGTAGACATTTGTGATGCGAACTCCCCGCCTCCCCTTCCTTCCCCTCCCGTTCTTCCCCTGTCCTGCTCCTCCGCATTTCCTTCCCCTCCCCCTCTTCTCCCCCTCCTTCTCCCTCTCGGGCCGAGGTACGTGAATTTCCTTGTAGGCGCCAACGACCTTCGCTCTGCGCGCGCGGAGTTGTCGCGTGGCGTGCTGGGCCGACTGCAGGCGGCGCCGGCTGGGCTTCGTTGCTCCCGTCGACTCTCCTCGTTGTCGTCGTCCTAGTCCTCTTGCTCCTGTTCATTCTCCTCCTCTTCCTCCTACCTCCTCTTTTCTCCATTCTCCGTCCTGCTGCCTCCTTCCCCTTCCCTCTTCTGGCCCTCGTCGTTCCCACAGTCACTTCATATGCTTAAGCACTACTGTTTCTTCTCCTTTGATTATGTCTAGCAGTTGACCCGCCGTCTCCGCCAGGCTGTCATATCTGTGGTTTGTGAGATTGTGTGCACATGTATACATATATATATATATATATGTATATATATATGCGTATATATACATATATGTATATATGTATATATACATATATGTATACTTATATATATATATATATCTATACAGGACTGCATCTGGCGCTTCGCGCCATGCACCTTGGTCCTTGAGGTTTGGCGCGTAGGCGGCGTGCGTGCGCGTTTATATTCGCGCATGAATATGCTCATGCATGTGTACACTAGCACGTGCATGCTTTTTGCTCATACTCGCACACACGTGTGTATATATATATATATATATAAATGGATGTTCTGTTTTATATACATATATATATAACCACATATATACACATGTATATATATATACATATACATATACATATATATATATATATATATATATATATATATATATATATATATGTAAATGTGTATGTATATATGTATATATCTGAGTAGGCCGGGGGGGGGGAAATCGGTGCCGTCATTCCCCATGGCGGCCTCCCGAACCTTTGGGGGGTCACAGACCCCCCGGGACTGCCCCGGGCCGCTTCCAAATTGCCCACGACAGGCCACGCGGGCCGTACAGATGGTCACGAAAGCCTGAAGAGGCCCCGAAGACGCCCAAGAGCGCCCCAAGAGGGCCCGTGAGGGCCCCAAGAGGGCCTTCAAGAGGCAAACATCGGCCCATTTCTATTGTAAAACGTGCATTTTCGGCATACTCGCTGGCTTCGTCTTCACAGTGCCACAGACGCCCCAGCGGAGCTACAACACAGCCCAAGAGAGACCCAAGAGGGCCTCAGACGGCCCAAAAGGGTCGCCCCCCCGCCCCCCTTTCCCCGGCAGAGCCGCCCCGGCGACCGCCCCCGAGCAGAGCTGAAGCCCTCGCTTAGGCTCAGAGCTGAAGCTCTTGCTGAGGCCCCATGTAGTTCACGCGCCAGATCAGCGGATTTCATGCTCCCCCGTGGCCTGGCATCGGCTGCGCAAAGTATTATAGTTCTTCACGCTGCGCCGCGCGGTCCGCGCGCCCCCGCTCAGCCGGCGCCCCGAGGTCTAGCTGCGTCTTCATGTTCACGTTCGGGTCGTCTGGGAAGTTTTCCCGGCGAAGACCTCCGCGGGGTGCCTCGAGGTGCCTTTGGATCGCGAGTGGTCTTGGGTTGTAGGCACCCCCAAGGGAAGCTGAAGTGCACCGCCAGGGGGGATAGTTCGCCAGGATGGGTCACGAGCAATGCCATCGCTTCGACTTCCGCGAAGGCTCTGATGCGCCATGTCTCGGGCGAGCTGGAGGGTTTCGCGGGTGCCAGGTCCAGCTCCAACTCCTGTTGCAGCGACGTTTGGAGGAAGGGGTGTCTCGTCCAGGCCGAGCGTGGAAATCCATCCAGGGACTGGCCCGCGAAATCCGCGGTCTGGGTTGGGCCGGGCGCCCCCAGGTTCTGGAACACCATGGGGGGCCTCAGGCGTGGCCCCCAGCAGTTGGGCCTTTAGGCTCTGGGCACAGGCGTCGGGGCTGCAGGAAACATTCAGAGCTTTCTCGCGGCGGCGGTCCTCGGCGGCGACCCTCTCGATGACGCGGCGATCAGCGCGGGTACCATCGCCGAGCGCGTTCTCAGGGGGCAGGTCAGGCCCCGCCAGCAGCGTCGGCGAGCCTGGGCTCGGGGCGCCGTGCAAGGCGGCACCGAGCACGCGCGTCTGTTCATCGAGCAGGGGGCCCCCATGACCCCCCCATCGCGCAGGACGGTTTGCCGCTGCGCGGCGATGCCGCCGCCTGGCATCTCGGCGCGGATTGGAGCCAATGCAGGCAGGACACTGCGTCGATCCTCGAGGAGACCCAGGTCCGCGCGGCGAAGTCTCTCAGCCCCCCTCCCCCTCGATCGATCAGGTCCGCTCGGCGCCCCAGAAGTTCCGGCGCGGCGCAGGGCTGGGGGCGGGCGGCGAATCCGAGAAGTCGGTTGCTCCCATCCGACGAGTTCCTTGGGCGACCATGCAGCGTGCCGGCCGTTTGGGAAAGACCTGCAGATTCCAGAGCACTGGCCGACGATCGTCGCGTTTGTTGCCGCGGCAGAAGAGCCAGACCCCCGCCCCATTGCGCCCAGTGCCCGCCCAATTCGAGCGCGGGCGCGCGCGCGCCAAACCATTGCCCGATAATGGGGGGGACAACAGGGCGCCCCTTGCTTTTGGGGGCACGAGGGCGCGCCTGTGATCGAGCGGGATGGGAGCGTGGGCTCCGCAATTACCTCGCCTCCTTCAGCGGCTTTCAGGCGGCCGCGCTTCTCAGTGATTTGGAACAGATCCATGTGCGAGTACATCGTCGTATTCGTCTCAACGAATGCCCGGCCACGGATTTGGGCTTGCCCTCTCGGCTTGCGCTCATTTACTAGGGACCCAAGGTTCTCGGTAACCATCATGGCGTTGGCGATGCCTTCAGGGCTGCGGGCACCATGCTGGCAGGATCTTCATGAGCCGCCGCTTTCGCTGATATCGCGCTGCGTCGGCTTCCGTGGAACCTCGCGGCGGCGCGCCCCAACGCCCAGATGAGGAACGTCGTCGATGTTGTGCACGTGCAGTGCCTGGGCGCGCAGACTTTGATTATCGAGCAGGTCAGGCTGGGTGTAAATTGGCTCAGAAATATCAAAAGCTCGAGCTCATCCCGGAATCTTCGAAGACCCGCTACGTCGCTTCGGCTCGACGGCGCGAACTCGGATTGGGAATCGCTTGGAAGCGTCCGGGGCTCAGGACCAAGGGGGCGACTGGGAGTTTGGGATCAATTGTCACGGCGGGGGGGCGCCGACGACGCACCACTTCTCAGGCGGTCAGGCTTCGACGAGGTGCGCGGTGCAGCTGGGTGCTGCGCCGACTCCGAGGTGGTGAATCGGCCGCTCGGATCCAGCGCGCGGGGCCTCGGGCGCGCGCGACCGGGGGCGCCGCTGTAGGAGGGGTCGCGGGGCGACAGCTCCGTGGGGTCCGAGTCTCTGCGCTGAGGCCCCATCATAAGACCGAGGGCGCGGCCTCTCCCAGGCCCCGTTTGCGCCGCAATAAAGTGGGGCGCCGCATGGGCCCCCAGGGCGAGCGGTAGCTCTTACCTGGTCTCAGGCACCTTGGACAGAAGGTTCTCGCTGGCCAGCGTGCGGCAGGCTTTTGAGGGAGCCATGATCGACCCGGTTCGGTGCCAATTTTCCTGGCAAGCGGCCCGCTCTTTTGTCCATGTTTTTGTGCAAACAGATCAGGACCTGGGCTGGCAAATCCCAAATGCTCGCAGCCTGGGTACAGAGGACAAGTGGCACTTGGATCTCCTGGCCCTCGCCCCGACTCGGGTTTCCTGGCTTGCGCAGCGTGCGAGGCCTCTTGGGGGCAGCTGTGCGGGCGTCTCTTGGGAGCCGTTTTGGAACCTCCTCCTGGGAGCCTCTGGGGGGCTTCTTGGGGCTTCTGGTGGCCTCTTGGGGGCCTTTGGGGGCCTCCTGGGGGGTTTTCGGGGCTGAGGGTTCGGATTCCGTCTCGTGGTGATTTAGGGGGCCTCAAGGGTTGTCTTGGGGCGTCGGGAAGCCGAAAAGGCGAGAATGCCAACTTCTGTAAAACCTCCCGAGCATCAATGAGTTTCGCCTTTGGGGGTCCTCTTGGAGGGCATCTTTGAGGCGACTCCTTAGGGCGTGTTCGGGGCATGTCCAGTCCAATGTGTCCAGTCTTCGACAGATTTTTCAACGAATGGGTACCTGTCTGGGCACATTGGAGGGACACAGCAGGGTTCGGGAGGTCGCGTGGGGCGGGTGTAGCTATAGTGTCCAGAGGACTGGCAGGAACCAATCCAGAAATCCGAAGGGAAATCCTGGACGGGCCCGAGAGCGCCCTCGAAATTGGAGGTCTGGGCCGCTTAGAAGTTACAATCCGAGCTGCAGTAGCAGCACAGCTGTGAGCCTTGAGGCACTCCACTTCGTGCCAAAGGCACGGTGGCGAAGAAGTCTGGGCCCGTCGTGTCGTCTGATTATGTGCAGGGACCCTTTGCTATATGATTTCGGTCAGTTGCTTGTGCGTATGGCTGTTGTCGCGTAGTTGGCGAACTAAGAACATGCGGAGGAGACACGATGAGGAGTACTTAGGACGAGGAAAAACACCAAGAGGAGGAAACAACAGGAAGAGTGGGTGGAGTGGAACAAGGATGAGCAGGAATAGGCGGAACCAGAGCAGCTGGAGGAGGAGCCAGACGGACAGCGGAGCAGCTGGAGGAGATGATGGAGATGAAGATAAAGGCAGATATGGGGTTAGTGGGAGGGAAAAGGAGGTAGACGTCGATATGGAGGATGTGATGGAGGTGAAATGGGAAGGGCCCTTCGCCGTCCTTGGCAGGCTGGTGTGAGGGACCAGCTGTCCAACCGCGTCAACCCTCTGGCGCGCCACACCCACTCCCGCGGCCAAGCCGCCTCTCCTTCGCGGCCTCTTCCAGGGATAGAGATCGGGCGCACACGTTGGTCCTTCACGTCTGTTCGTTCTTCCCATGGCTCCCACCTCTCTTTGTATGTCGCTACCGTTTTCCCTGTCGCGCTTCCGTTTTTGTTGTTGTTGTTGTTGTTGTTGTTGTTGTTGTTGTTGTTGTTGTTGCTGTTGCTGTTGTTGCTGCTGCTTGTTTCTTCCCGGCCACGGCGGGGAGCGTTTCCCGAACATTCCTCGCGCGATTGCTGTCGTTGGGCGCGGCCCTTGCCCCTCGGGCCGTCGGCCCCATGTTCCTCGTCGTCGTCGTCGTCGTCGTCGTCGTCGTCGTCGTTCTCGTCCTCGTGGTCCTCCTGCTGCGGGTCTGCGGCCTCGGGGACGCGAGCCCGTTGCAGTTTGCAGGGGGTTGCGGCCTCGGGAGCGCGAGCGCGTCGCGCTCGAGAGATTCTAGCTCAGGGAGCGCGAAAGTAATGTAATCTACGACGGGCTGTGGCTTCAGAAGCGCAAAGTCGTTGTACGTTACGGGGGCGTGTGGCCTCGACAGTGTGAACCTTCAATGTTTCCACGTGCACCAGGGCACATTAAGGAACTCTGAGAACTCAAGCATGGGAGGGAAACCGGGCTTTTTTCGGGCCCCCCCCCTCGCGCGGACTTCAACCATTACATTACAGCATTGAAGCCGGAAGCGAGAAATCATTTCATTACCAATGTCCGCCTGTAGGGGGACATGCCCGACCTAAGCGTAGCAATATTTGCAAGGGGTTGGCCTCGGGCGGGCCGCGCGCGCCTGACGGTGGGGGTCGGTGGTGCAGGTTCCACGGCCGCGCGCTCGCTTCGTCCGCCTTCCGGTTCCTTCCTGCTCCTTCCCCCCCTTCCACCTTCCGCTCCAAGACATCGGGCGCCGACTCTGTGCTGACAGTTTTGGTCATTTTGCAGTGGCCTCGGGAGCGCGAATCTGTTGCGAATCGCTCGGGATCGCGCCGACGGGGATTCAAACTCGTTGTAAGTGACAACGGGTCGCGGCTGGGGAGCGCGAGGGCGATGTGATATAAATGGGCCTTTGACTTCGCGGACTCGAAGATGTAGTATTCTACGTATCCCGGCGGTCGTCCGAAAATCATGGGAGCCTTGCGAGCCGTCTGAAGTCAGTTGATTGCGTCTAGCGTCTGGTACTCAATATGATAGCGCCGATTTAGCATCGATTCAGCGTCGATTTATCGTCGGCCAGCAAGATGCACGGCCTCTGACCTGACCAGCAAGATGGTACGGGAGGTTACCAGGAGCTGCCACCGAACCAGAGCACCCCCATAATCCACAGTGCGTGACAAGGGTGTGGGTAATGTGTTTTTGTTCGCTCCCTTCCCCCTGCACCCCCACTCCCCCATCCGCGCCTTCTGTGCGCGAGGTGAGGGAGAGCCTCGCCTTCCTCTGGCAGAAGTGGGCGCGGCTGGAGCGCTACTTCGGCCACGCCCGCCCCCCCCCCCACCCCACGTTCCCCGATGCCGGCGCCTCCGCGCGGCAAGGGGCGGGCCAGGGGGAGGGGAGGGAGGGGAGGGGAGGACGAGGGAGAGGCGGAGGAGGGAGGGTGAGGATGGTGGGGGGGGGAGGGAAGGGGCGGCGGGGGGAAACGAGGCAGGGGTGGAGGGGAGGAGATGGAGTGGAGGATGAGGACCAAACTGCAATACACCCTCCTGTCCTCAGAAGTCTATGCAAGTCTTCCTTTCCGCCGCGGGCGCCCCCCCCTTGAATTGCGAGCTGCCAGTCGGTCCGCCGACGGGAGCGCCAGTTGGAAAGGATCCTCCCTCCACTTGAAGGGCTCCCAAGGTAGTCTCATTTTGAGAGGCCGTCTCAGCGTTGCAGAGGATGTCAAAGTCGTGGACGTATGCTCCGCGGAAGCCCCTCGCGAGAGCCCGTCAAGGAGGACTAGGGACACCCTCATGTTGAGAGCGTTGGAGGATGTCCAAGTCGTGGACATGCTTCGCCGATGTCTCACGCGAAAAGCCCGTTTTGGAAGAGGAGCCGCCCTCCATCCGTGTTAGCTGTTGCACAGTATGGAATGCCGGGCCGTAGAGGTCGAGGAGGGTGAAGTAAATGTAAACGGTGAATTTTGTATTCGAATGCGCGCGAGGCCAATGCAAGGCAAGGCAAATCCGGTCGCGCGCGGGGGCCGCGCGCGCCCCTCAAGTGGAGACGGCATTGGAACAATCGTGCAATTGCACGCACCCCTCCAAGAAGGAACTTGCCGGCAAACTGGTTACTATGAGGCCATGAGGTCCCCGAAATCATCCTCGAAATTCGCCAAAACAACGACCCGAGTGCCATGGAGTACTGCTGATAATGCCGTAGCATGCTTGATGTTCAAGCACCGGTTGATATTGTCTGTCCACCTGCTCTTCGGGCGTCCCCGGGATCGCTTGCCAGTGAGAGGAATCCATCTCAGGATTGTCTTCGGCCAAGACAAATCGTCTCGAAAAGCTTTGTGAGCGAGTCGCCACTGCATTCTGTCAAGAACTTGTAACCAGTCAGAAACGCTATTCTGAGAAAACGCACTTTAAAGTCGATGTTTGCACCGTCTTCTGGCGTCTTCCCAATCTTCCCCTGGCCGCTTCCAAAAACCAGCGACTTTGCGCAGCATAGCGGATCTCGTGGCGGTAATCTTCATGCGTTGTTGCTGCATCAGCGCGCACGTGGCTAAACCGTTCGTGGTTGTAGGTGAGACCACGTTGTCAAAGAGAAGGAGCCGCAATTTGACAGACATGTTTTTGTTGGTCAGGACCGCCCGGTTCGCATGGTACTTGGCCCTTTCGCATTCTATGCGATTGAAGCTTGATGTTTTGTATATACAACATGCACCCGAACATTTTCTGCCCATAATACTTGTGCATGCCCGCGTCAAGAATTACAGGACCCTGCTCACGGAAAAGCACCGCCAGACCATGTGCAGCCATGGAGTACCCAGCTTCGTTCGTGAACACCTTGGTTTTGCGTGCGTTGAGCGCCAGACCACATCTCGACAGCTCTTCGTACAATATCTTCAGCATGATCATTGCATCGCTAGCAGTCGTGGCATACAACAACATATCATCCGCGTACCGTATGCTGGTCAATCGTTCTGGCCTTCCGACGTCAACGCCGCTCCCACGAACTCGGTCCTTGAATCGCTTCACGGCGTGTTCTAACCCGTTGTTGAATTGAGCGACGACAGCACATGTCCTTGCATGACGCCCCTGGTGATCTCCAAAAGCTCATTGCCATTGACGATTTTGCGTTGGTTTTGATATCCATCCGACTGCAGCCGGATGTACTCCGATGGCAAGCCTTGCTCGTCCAACGCGTTGAAGAGAAGCGGATGCTCGATGCGGTCGAAGGCCTTGGTCAAGTCGAGGCTGACAACTCAAAGCGTTTGCCCCCGCTCGCACGATTTGCAGCATACCGCTTCCAGAAGATTGAAGGTATCATCAACTGATCTTCCCGGACGAAAGCCGCATTGATCTGGGCACTGTTGTTTTTCGAGTTGTGGTTGAAGACGTTGGAAAAGCACGCGTGCAGAAATCTTGCACGTTATGCGCAGAATCGCTATGGGACGCCAGTTTTTGGCCTCACGTCTGTTGCAGCCCTTGGGGAGCTGTAATTCAATAGCCAGCAGGAGCGCCTTGGTGAATCCGTGCAGCCACTTACCCCAGAAACATGCCCCACGAACCCATTGACATGCCACCGCGAATTTCACATGAACGCCGCGCGAAAACCTTCGAATCCGGCAGGAACCCTCCGCTTCCGCATGGCCGTGGCAGGGAATTCTAGACGTTTCGCGTATCCCCGCCGCTCCCGCACAGCCCCGCGGCTGCTTGGTGAGTGGGCCGGCCGGCTAGCGGCGCGTCTTGTAGCTAATCAGCCTTGTTCGCTGCCCCGGACATTTGCCTTCGCCGCGTGTGCTCTTCGCTCGCGGCCGCGACCAAAAACAAATTACCCCTGCCGGCATCGAAGGGGCATCGCGGGTCCGGTCGACAATGCGCACCCAAAGGGCTCCTCAGGCAAGTCCCGCGGGCATGGAGCAAGTCCACCAGCAAGTGTTGTCGACGCAGGCCGCGCCCCGGCATGGGCACCCTGGCGCGCGTCCTCCGCGCTGGACCCTTAGACCCCCAGCTGCGCGACCGTCTAGACGCCGACGACCTTCTCCTCGACGCGCGAAAGGCCGGGGCCCTACTGGTCGTCATGATGCTCATGATAAGGAAGCCCAGGACTTTCCTCTGGCCTTTCGCAAACGCCGAGGGTGCAGGAGATGTCATCGAGGCGGTACTCGGATTATGCGTTCCCTGGCAGGACGTCCACCTCGATCTCCGGCAGGAGTTTGCAGCAGCATGGAGTCTCAAGGTGGGCGACTTCACCAACCTGCGCGTGAGGATCGAGGACGCGCTCTCACAAGTCTCCAAACTTGTGACGAACGCCCACCACCACGACGTGGCGAAGAAGGCGGGGCGTCCCCAGACCTGGGAGGACATGGAAAAAGGCCGACTTCAAGCTCAAGGCACCCCTCTGCGCAAATTGCCCCCCGCGCCGGCTTCAAGCGCTCGATCTGCGCCCTCCGCACTTCCCTGGCAGGGTCCGAGGCAGGCCTGGGAGAGAGCAAGGCGGATGCCGCTATCGAGTGCGTTGGGGGGGCGGGGGGGGGGGGCACCGCCCTCTCCAAAACCGACCTGTCGGCCCCCGCCCCTCCCGCCCCCGCGAACCCCCGTGCCATCGCCGACGGAAGGCTTCTCAGCGACCAGAGGAACGTTCATTTCACATGCGACCGGCGCGTTCATTGCACGTTGGAGTTCACCGACGGCACCCGGGAGGGCGACTCAACCAGATACCTTCTGGCCAGCAATGGGCCGAAGGCCTACCTTGACGGGGGGGACCTCAGGTGCTTATGCGGGAATTGTTGGGTACCGCATCTCAACATCCAGTGCGCCCCAACCCCTGCAGGGGCCTCCGTCGCAGCCATAGTGTCCGACTACACAGCGTGGCGAAACGGACGCGACGAGGGCCCAGTCGCCCACGCGCGCCCACCGCCTCCCTGCTCGGGGCCCCCCGGGGCACGGGCGCGCCCGCTCCGGCGGGGGGGCCCGGCGTCTGAGCGCCGTCCTCGTAACCCCCGCTGGGCCACGCGTCCCCCGGGTCGCGAGCGCTGCAATGCTTGCCGCCAGGATCACGGACGGGCGGCTTGGCAATGACGCCTCCAACACAGGCACTTACTCCGCCAAGTGCGACGCGTGCCCTCCCTCTGGCCCCCTGCTGGTCTGGAAGGTTAACGCGCCAGCGCTCGGTTGCTTCCTTTGGGAGGCTGAACCCGATGCCGCGGGCGCGGGCCAAGCAGGCCTCCCCAGTTGGGACCAATGGCCTCGCTCCTTGGTCCAGCGCAAATGGAACGCCGCATGGCGCTGCCGCAGGTGCCTACTGGAGCGTCGCTTCCGCGGCCCTGGGCCGTATCAAGGACCGCGACTCCGGCGAAGTCTTTCCGCAGCAGCCAACGGTTCGCCCGCGTCTGGCAAATAGGGCGGGCCCCAGCGAAGTCGCCCCAGACCTTGCAACCCCCCTCGCGCCAGCGTCCGCAGACGCGAAGGCTCATGACCCCTGCGCCCGCAGCCCCCCCCACAGGGGGCGCGCTGCAGAACGAGGCTGGGGACGGCGTCGATGGTCCTCAGGGCAGCTCGTACCAGCGCACTGTTGACGGGGTCCTTGCCCTTCTTCTTGAGCCACCTTCTCCGGAGGCCCCCAAGGGGAGTCGCAGATGCGCAGCGGCCCTATCCACCGCGGAAGGGAGTGCTTCCGGGCACGGGCGCCGCAACAAGCAGGAGGAAGCCCCGCGCGCCCTCGACAAATGGATGAACTTCGCCCGGATGCACGGCGCCGACATCCCCGCCCGAACGGCCGGGAATTCTCGTGGGCGGCGCAGCAGCTGGATCCCTTCCTGCGCGAGGTGCATTGCCCCGAGATCCCCGAAGGGGGACGCCCCGCTGGCGCATCCTGGGATGGCATGCGTTGGGCAGCGGCCAGGGTGGTCGGACACTTGCTACAGTGTACCATTCATCAGCAGTCGTGGGCGCCCTTCTCCCGGAGTGCCGCTCCCAGCCGAGGGCAGAACCCATTCTGACGCGACCTCAACGTCTTCGCGGGGGTCATCGCCAGCCTGGGCGCCAGCACTCTCGTCGCCACCTCCATCACTACCTTGGCGGGGCAGGGCCCCTCGGCCCCTTCCGCTCGCGACGCCGACGCCCCTCCAAGGGGCTCCTGGAACGCTACGGAACCGGCGCGCGACGGTTCCCCCGCGGCTGCCGCCTCCTGGCCCGCCCCAGACAGCAGTGGCAGCGGGCCTCCAGCGCCCCGGCCGGACCGCGCCCCACCGCCGGCAGGCCCCAGGGCGACAGACCTGAAGTGGCTCGCCCACCAGCGAGCCCAGCGCCCGGTCAAGGCGGAGGTCGAC